GGAAAGAGAAAGAGACCTACTCTCTTGTTTCAGAGGAAAGAATTTTCTTCTTGGAAAGCTAACAGACTGACCCAATCAGCAATGCAAACTTTGAAATCTAAGTCAAGAGTTATGTGCAGTAACCGTGTACAAAAGTCATTTAGTTCTCGAGAATGAATATAAAAACAAGTCTGTGAGTGCCCTCTTGTGGCAAGCCTGGCTGTTACCACAACCAAGTACTGGCTGTCTTCCCCCAGGCATCTTCAGGTGCGGCACAGAGCCATAACCTACAACACTGAGCATACATTCCCTGAAGTGGCTGGTTAGCATTTGTTTCCAAGGAGTTCTAATCTCAGAAATGCCCTTTTAAAGTGAAGTGGGAATGAAAGGGCAGAGGAACAAAGTGTGGGATGCGCACAAGGGCTGCGGGTGCTACCACTGGCCCGTAATACTGCGTGGTGTATCTGAGTACACGTGCCATGGTACTGCCAGGGGGCGGAGCCCCAGGGGGTAGCCACCTCTACTCCCAAGAATGCTTACCAAGTCTATAGAGTTATAAAAGTTTCATGTTTACAATCAGGGAGCCCTGTGCTGAGAACTATTATTTATCAGCATTAAAACATCAGCAACTTGGGCACAATTCTTATATAGCTCTTGTTGGATGCTGGCTATATGCTGCTTTTCTAAGCCTGTTAAGATCTTGTAAAATAAGAAAAATTTTCCTCCTACTTTAGGAAAAGTACTAACCTCTAATAAGTTGATTTCTTACTCAGAGTGGTGGGCTTTGCATTTAGAAAAATGAACTAGCACCCTTCTGGACAGCTAACGTATTCACTGCGATCAGTCTCAGTGTCTTAGCTTCAGAGGAAATGGCAAAGTCCTCACACTGCAACCTGACCAAAGGACTCTAGGAGTCAGTGCTTCCAAGAGGTCAGTCATGCAAACCTGGGGGCCAAAGAACACTGAAAGGAGCTATACTACTTCAGAGGAAAGATGATCTTCCCCTGAGAAAGAGATTAAGCTAAAAGCCTTGCCATTCTGGGCAGGAGAGCAACAAGCAGGCAACAAGTAGCCTGATGGGAAAAGACGAGCAATGACCAAAGTCCGGCTGGGAGATGGTGTTTACGCTTCTCCGCTCGGCTTCGGCTGGTGGCTTGTTTCCAGAAAAGGGTTCCCCTCAGGGTGAGGGTGGAAGCCCATGGCAGGAAGTTGCTGCTTTGGTCCCGGATGTGTGAAGGGGAACGGTTTCAAGAATATAAAGTAAACATGGATCCCAGCCAGATGATTTATGGAAGAGCACTAAAGCCACAGACATTCTGAGAGCCAGGTATGGTGGCCTGTACCTATGGTCCCAGTGATCCAGGAGACTGAGGCGAGAGGATCGTGACGAGGCCAGACTCTGTTTAAAAACACCACCAAAATAAAACACACACACACACACACACACACACACCCTCTCCCTAAAGAAATGATAATTATGAGACTGATCCAAGGTATGGTGGCCTGTACCTATGGTCCCAGTGATCCAGGCGACTGAGGCGAGAGGGGCGTGACGAGGCCAGACTCTGTTTAAAAACACCACCAAAATAAAACACACACACACACACACACACACACACACCCTCTCCCTAAAGAAATGATAATTATGAGGCTGATCCAGGAAAACATATCTAACTCCTAACTCCCTGTTCACTTCTCCAGCCTTGGGAAGAACAGTTTCTTCCCTTCTCACCTGATGGAACTGACATACTGACGGCCCCTGTTTGAGATAAACCAATACACTAGATGGGGAATAAACATTAAAAACATTTTCTGAGAGCCCTGCCAAGTCATTTTAAGGAGACTTCATTGTCTTTCTGTGCAGGGAAGGAGAGTGAAATTAACAGCCAAGGTTTCCCTTCTCCACCAAGATAATATAAGAGGGAGGAAAAAGGAATACTGACTCTGCCCAATTCAAATTTGAAACCATACACTCCCCTTTAAATAAGGTCCTGGCTCCACCAGAAGTATTCTGGGATTAGTACAGGTTAGTGTTCGGGGTCGTGTCACCCAAGCTTTGATGATGAAAGACCTATCCCACCAGGAACTCTGTGACCATGGCTGCGGCTTCTCACTGTCCTCAGCTGGGAGGAAAGCAGTTATCACGACAGCTTGATGGGCAGGTCTTCCCCGTATTTCCGGAGCAGCTTCTGATGGTTGTGGTCCACTGACCACTGCTGGGGCAGGTGCTTGGGCTGCATGGAGTCCAGGAAGTGCTGACGCCAGCGGCTCTCCAGCTGCATTAGGGAACGCAGACCGCCCTGGGCGTGACACTGCACCACCTTCAGCCCGTGAGGAACGTAGCTGTCATTGCAGATCCTGCCGAGATGTGAAGCACAGGGTTTCAGGAAAACAAGCACGGGACAGTGTCAGAAACAGTCTCAAATACTGCAGACCAAGGGTGCGTCGAGAGGTTATCACGTGACATTTCCCAAATACCTTATTTCTCATCTCTCCTTTTCTAATAGTTTGGACATACGGCTCACAGTCCAGAGGAAGGCCCTTGGGGATTGTGAGCCTACTGCGAAACACTTGGCCTCCACTAAAGGGATCCCACTGTCCAGCTGACGATGGTGAAGAATGCTGTATTTATTCCAGTGTTACTCAGTGACCAGCTTGCCCATCTTTTTCATTCTGAATCATACTCAGGATTTATATGAGGCTAATATATCACCTGCATGTTCCAGGTTTTCATAGTATAGTATTTTTTAAAATTATTTATTTAATTTTATTTATTCATTCATTTATTTTAATTTGACCAGTGAGAGACACAGAGGAGGAAAGAGAGAGAGGGAAAGTGAGAAAGGAAGCCACCAGGTCCGGGACTTGAACAGTGGTCGGCCATGTGGGAGCGTCGAGCACCTTAACCACCACGCCACCTGCTGGTGCCCATAGTATAGTATTAATACTTATATGTAAAAAGCAAGGTGATACCTTTTTTTTTTTTTTTTTTTTTTTTTTTTTTTTTTTAGATAATATAAGAGGGAGGAAAAAGGAATACTGACTCTGCCCAATTCAAATTTGAAACCATACACTCCCCTTTAAATAAGGTCCTGGCTCCACCAGAAGTATTCTGGGATTAGTACAGGTTAGTGTTCGGGGTCGTGTCACCCAAGCTTTGATGATGAAAGACCTATCCCACCAGGAACTCTGTGACCATGGCTGCGGCTTCTCACTGTCCTCAGCTGGGAGGAAAGCAGTTATCACGACAGCTTGATGGGCAGGTCTTCCCCGTATTTCCGGAGCAGCTTCTGATGGTTGTGGTCCACTGACCACTGCTGGGGCAGGTGCTTGGGCTGCATGGAGTCCAGGAAGTGCTGACGCCAGCGGCTCTCCAGCTGCATTAGGGAACGCAGACCGCCCTGGGCGTGACACTGCACCACCTTCAGCCCGTGAGGAACGTAGCTGTCATTGCAGATCCTGCCGAGATGTGAAGCACAGGGTTTCAGGAAAACAAGCACGGGACAGTGTCAGAAACAGTCTCAAATACTGCATGCAGACCAAGGGTGCGTCGAGAGGTTATCACGTGACATTTCCCAAATACCTTATTTCTCATCTCTCCTTTTCTAATAGTTTGGACATACGGCTCACAGTCCAGAGGAAGGCCCTTGGGGATTGTGAGCCTACTGCGAAACACTTGGCCTCCACTAAAGGGATCCCACTGTCCAGCTGACGATGGTGAAGAATGCTGTATTTATTCCAGTGTTACTCAGTGACCAGCTTGCCCATCTTTTTCATTCTGAATCATACTCAGGATTTATATGAGGCTAATATATCACCTGCATGTTCCAGGTTTTCATAGTATAGTATTTTTTAAAATTATTTATTTAATTTTATTTATTCATTCATTTATTTTAATTTGACCAGTGAGAGACACAGAGGAGGAAAGAGAGAGAGGGAAAGTGAGAAAGGAAGCCACCAGGTCCGGGACTTGAACAGTGGTCGGCCATGTGGGAGCGTCGAGCACCTTAACCACCACGCCACCTGCTGGTGCCCATAGTATAGTATTAATACTTATATGTAAAAAGCAAGGTGATACCTTTTTTTTTTTTTTTTTTTTTTTAAGTTTTTTACTCTAGAGATCGGGTACTTGCCAGAGGGAGACAGAGAAGAAAAGTGAGAAACCATCCCCGACAGGGATAGTCATATTGTTATCCCTTCTTAATTCTCGAGATTTGGGGCACACATGCATATGTGCTCCACATGATTTTCAAGCCGCTGGTCTGAGACTTGAGCTACAGTTGGCCACATGAGAGTCCAGCACCTTCATCACCATGCCACCTGCTGGTCCAGTGATACATTTCTTTAGTGCCTTCTTTTTCATAAAAAGAATGCAAACCACACTCAGGAGAAATGTTCCAGTCACAGTGAAATGCTGCTGTGATTGCTCAGTTGTGCAAATGTGCCACTGAACGGAAGAACATTCCCTGACCCCCCTACTAGGCAGAGAGACCTAGAGTCCAGAGTCCATGTGAATAGTCCTTTCACCTCTGAGGAGTAAGGCTTTTCTCAAGGAAGCACGGACTCTGTTCCTCTCCCTATATCCACACCCATTTTTTTTTGTTTTTGGAGAGGTTTTTGCTATTGGGCGTGTGTGCTCACCAGAAAGACAGCGAGAGACAGAGAGACAGAAAGCGAGAAATCACCCCCCCAGGGGGGATGGCCACGCCGCAATCCCTTCTCCTCCATTCTCCTTTCAGGATCTTGGGCACGCACACACACGCACCAGTCGTGAGTTTAAGCCACCGGGTCCAGGACTCGAACTGCAGTCAACTATATGGGAGTCCAGTGACATAGCCATTACACTAACTGCTGGTCCTTCCATACCCATTCTTAATCCTCTGTTCTGAGAGCCCATCGGTCCAGCATGTTAGCACTCCCTGGGATTTGCAGACATTTTATATTGAGCTCATGAGCTTCTACAAACTTGCCTGTCTATCTTCAAACTGCTGTTCTCAGTTAACATCTGGGTTATCCCTCATCCCTTCTCTGAGCAGACCTGCTCACTGTACCTGGTCTCCAGGCCGGCAGCCTCTTGAAGAAGCTCATCTGTGACTGTGTCTGAGCCGTAAAACTCGCGGAGTGCTTGTAGCAGCTCCCTCCTGGAACTCCTTGGCCAGCTGTTGCTTCAGGTGGTTGTCATAGTAGTTGGAGATGGCGTGGCAGGAGGTGCAGAGCAGCAGCACATCGTGGGAGTTGTGGTCCTTCATCTCGATGGGGAAGTGCTTCCGGTACTCATGTGGAATCACGTTCTTCCTGGAACAAGCCCATCCACCAGGAGGCAGAGTTTGTTAGCACGTGACCAGAGCACTCATGAAGCCAGCAGGCTATGGGGATTCTAACCTGGGCCTGAAGATGACTGAGCACCCCTGAGCACCACAACCCAAAAGGGGCGACAGGAAAGCAATGCTGCCTTCCTATCCTCTGCCCTGCCTGTGCTGGGGGTCCTACCTGCCTGCCTTACATGAGCTTGTGTCCTCGCTCCTTGAGTAAGTACCAACATCTGTGCCAGGCTCTCAATAACAACCTTCTCCTAGCCTCTGCCCTGCCTGTGCCAGGGGTCCTACCTGCCTGCCTTACGTGAGCTTGTATCCTCGCTCCTTGAGTAAGTACCAACATCTGTGCCAGGCTCTCAATAACAACCTTCGAGAAGACTGTGCTCCCAGGAGGAAGTATTCAAGAGATAAAGAGATTCTAATGGCCTTTGACATCTGGAAAACAACTCTGTCAAAGCCTAGTGTCTTGGAAAAGCCAGTGTCCTTCACCTGTGGAATCCCTTATGCTGACATTATTTCCCCAGTTTACCACGGCCCACCATTACTTTCCAAAGAGAACTGAGCTCTCAGGAAAAATTCTTGGCATCAACTGTTTGTCTCACTTTGTAGAGGACAGGAGGGAAGCACAGGAAGCCTGACTTCCACTGAGTCAGGACCTAGACACCAAATAGAATGACAGCCCAAAGCAGCCTCCTGGTAAGCCGTGACTCCATGAACAGCACAAAGACTCAGGGTGCTTACTAGCCACTCAAAAGAAGACTACAGGGACACAGCTTCTGAGGACCCAGACTTTGGGCTTTCATAAGCAAAAGAGAACGCTCTCCCCATGGTAGACTACTACTGAGAATAGTATCACATTCCAGAAACTAGGAACTGACTCAGGAGGGGTAAGGGCCACTATAGCCAAGGCCAGGCAGAGTGTCGGGGCCCCTGGGGAAACTAGGATGTCCCTTATGGACAAAGCTCTCAGGAAAGGTGGGCAGAGTCAACAAAAGCCTCGGAGGGAGCCAGCAGGTGGTGTGGTGACTAAGGTGCTGGATCCCAGGTAGCTGACTCCACAGTTCAGACGCTGGGCCTGGCAGCTTGAAAATCACTCCAGTCATGTGCGTGTGTGCCCTAAATCCCAAAAGGAAAATGAAGGAGAAGGGATTGTGGCATAGCCATGCCTCTTGGGGGAGGATGGGGGGGATTTCTCACTTTCCCTCTCTGTCACTGTCTCTCTCTAACAAGTGCACATGCCCTGTAGCAAAATCCTAAAACAAAACCCAAGAAAACTCAGAGGGCTCTGCAAGTGCCCTCCAAGGGCAACTTCCACCTGAGGCAGACATCGGCTGCCCACCACCACACGCACCGAATGTAGGAGTCTCTCTTGCCACACACAACACACAGGTTCTCTTTAACCATCAAGTAATAGTCTCCTGGGGATTCAGGTCTTCCCGCTGGTTCAAACTGGAGCTTGACCACAAAAGGCTCTTCACTCACTAGTTCTTAAGGGAAAAGAAGCAGAATTAGCGTGACTGCTCCCCTTCCTCCCATCCTGCCCCAGGAAGAAGCACTGCCACAGCTGGTCTCTACCACCCTGGCAGAACTCTCTCTGAGTTGTGACTACCCAGCCCCACGTCTCATGGTCTCGGCCTTCTGCTAGCCATCTCTCCATATCTCACTCCCCAAGTAATAGTCTCCTGGGGATTCAGGTCTTCCCGCTGGTTCAAACTGGAGCTTGACCACAAAAGGCTCTTCACTCACTAGTTCTTAAGGGAAAAGAAGCAGAATTAGCGTGACTGCTCCCCTTCCTCCCGTCCTGTCCCAGGAAGAAGCACTGCCACAGCTGGTCTCTACCACCCTGGCAGAACTCTGAGTTGTGACTACCCAGCCCCACGTCTCATGGTCTCGGCCTTCTGCTAGCCATCTCTCCATATCTCACTCCCCAGTCCTGCCAGTTCCCATCTGTACCTAATTACATATAAACCATGGCAGCTGAGTCTCACACCTCCAATGCCTTTGTCCAGGTACCACTGAGCTTTCCTCCGATCACAAGTGCAGAGGGGCTGTCCGTCAGGAGCATGGAGGAAGCAGTTATCATAGAGAGGTGATTTTCTGCAGGGAAGGGAGAGTGAAATCTCAAACGTTTGAAAGCCAACTGTTGGCTAAAGTAGCAGTTGCCTTCTCAAGATCACTTGAGTGACTCAAACTATTCTCAACCCTAGGGTCAAACACACCACTTACAGGAAAAACAAACAGGACAAGAAACCATGTTTAAGGGGCTAGCAGGTGGCATGGTGGTTAAGGGTGCTGGACTCCCACATGGCCAACCACAGAGTCCTGGACCTGGTGGCTTGCTTTCTCGCTTTCCCTCTCACTCTCACACACACTCTGTCCCTTTCTGGTCAAATTAAAATAAATGGATAAATGAAGTTAAATAAAATAATTCTTCAAAAAAAAAAGAAACCATGTTTAATTCTATAGAAAAATAACTAAAAATGAATTTGTTTATACCTCTGAATTTTATATGTATAGACTGGACAGTAGGGAGTGATCTGAATGGCATTATCATAGCTTGGCTGTGAACACGCAGAGGAACAGCAGAACAAGAAAATTGCCACATTATTGGATTAAACAAAGTAAATTTAAATTTTCAAAGTTCACCTTAAAGCAATCGGGGCCATGTGGATTTGAGTCTGGCTCACGTGCAATACTTCCTTCAATTTAATCATCCAATTCCTAAAGGCATTTTGTTACAGGAATCAAATATCTGCTCTACAGTACTCATTAGTCATCGTCCTACGACAGAGGTAGACACTGTACAGGAAAATTCTCATCAGCTAGAGAATAACTTTGGCTTCGAGCTGAATATCGTTCTAAATGATCAAAGTGAACAAGAAGTCGGATGGAGCACTTCTCCTGAAAAGTGTGAGGCACTTTGTTACTCCTTTGCACAGCTATCCCAAAATAGACAAGGAGTAATAACTACTAACTAGGTCTTAGAAAAGTCATGACGTGGGGCCGACAGGTGGCATGGTAGTTAAAGGCGCTGAATTCCCACATGGCCGACCACAGTTTGAGTCCTAGTCCTGGTAGCTTGCATTTGCCTTTTCCCTTTCTCTTTCTTTCTGATCAAATTTAAAAATATAATAACAAATAAAATTAAATAATTAAAAAAAAAAAGTCATGACGTATTTCTCTGTGTTTCTATGCAAAAATGTGTCACGACTTTTCCGTCAACTCACTATATCCCTACTAACAGTTGGAGAAGTTACAGTCTAAGGCTACATCAGGGTCCATGACACAGCTAGGCTGTTCTCATTTCTGCTCCAACTGTGAGAAAATACAGTACAAGAAGGGGAGAGGGAGGAAAGACACATTGCAAAGGAGAGTACCAATGTCCCTGAAGGAAAAGAAAAGGAAAATGGACCCCTGGGAGAGCCTCTACTACATCTGCCATAAGCCTTCCGCCCAGACCCACGGGCAGCATCACACCCTCTGCTGGAGGCTGGACCACTGTCCGTACCAGACAGGCAACACCCCAGTTACCTGGCGGAATAGCCCACCCCCAGAGGCTTTCTTTTATGTTTTCTGGGGTCTCTTCCTTGGTGGCTGCCCGGCACCATTCCATCCACCTTGGACTTTTTATTTCTTGGCTTCTGCTGAGATTCTGTAGCTTCCGCATTAACCTCTTCTCCCAATCTGCTAAGTCCTTTGCTTCGGAATGGGATGTCTACCACATCCCGGCACTTCTCCAGGACTTTTCTCCAGTCCGTGGGGTCACTGTTTTCTTCTACAGGTGAATTCCTAGAGAAAGGGTATCCAAGAAGATGGAGAAAGAGAGCCACTGAAATCTGGGCATCCCTGGCAGCATAAATTACCTGAAGAGAAAAGTCAGAGATCAGTGGAATCTGGAAGGCAAACTGGACAGAACAACTTCGATCGCAAAGACGCAGAAATTTCTAGGATACTAATTCAAAATGCACAATGATTCGGGTACCATATATTTATTTAAAACTGTGTATTATGAAAATTTTCAAACTATACAAAAGTAAATTAAATAGTATAATGAACACTCATGTTCCCAAAGTTTTGGCTAAAATAATGAGTTAACTCTAAGTGTTAGAAAATCCTAATCTACAAAAATCTGTGACATTTCTAAGTACGATCAAACTGCTGGACAGGTTTTCCTCAAGTTTGGGAGGAGGGTAGTTAGCAGATGTCTGATAATTAGTACATGAAATTCACTTTAAGGAATCTTCTAGAATAGCTGAAACTATTATATAATTTATTAAGAAGCCTATGTTTCTATCAATCAGAAATGACCTGCCATATTTCCTAATAAATTGTTGAAAACAAGCAAAGCAGGGACCAGCAGATGGCGTAATGGCTACGTCGCTGGACTCCCATGTTCGAGTCCTGACTAGGTGTCTTAAACTCACACCAGACACATGTGCGTGCATGCCCAAGATCCCAAGAGGAGAATGGAGGAGAAGGATAGCATGGCCATCCCCCCTAGGGAGTGATTTCTCACTTTCTGTCTGTCTCTCTCTGTCTTTCTGGTGAGGGCACGCGCCCCATAGCAAAAACCTCCAGAAAGAAAAAGAAAAAAGAAACCATAATCTACATAACTAACAGCAGATTGTCTCTCCGAAGAATTGAATGTAAAGGGTTCAGAGTGTCTTTTAAATTTTGCTTTAAAATGATAAGGAAACAAAGGCACTTTAAATAAATGGTGCTGGGACAACTAAATGTCCACATGCAAAAGAATGAATCTGAACACCTACCAGACACGACACAAAAGAATTAAGTCAAAATAGAACATAGACAAAAAATGCAAAAGGTAAAACTATGAGACTATTACAATTAAAACATAGGAGTAAATCTTCATGTCCTAGAGTTAGGCAATGATCTCTTGGATAGGATTCCAAAAGTATAAAAAAGAAAAGAAAAAGATAACGGAGTTCATCAAAACTAAAACTTTTATGCTTCAAATGACCCCATCAAGAAAGTAAAAAGATGGGGCCAGCAGGTGGCATGGCAGTTAAGGGCACTGGACTCCCACATGGCCAACCATGGTTTGAATCCTGGACCTGAGGCCCTGAGGCTTCCTTTCTCACTTTCTTTCTCTTTCTCTCTCTCTCCCTCTTTCATCAAATTAAAAATAAATTAAATAAAGCTAAAATTAAAAAATAATTCTTAGAAACTTTTTAAAAATGAAAGTGAAAAGGCAACACATAGAATGGGAGAAAATATTTATAAATTATGTATCTGATAAGTGACTAGCATCCACAAACTCAATAATAAAAGACAAATAAATCCAATTAAAATATGGGCAAAAGACAGACATTTCTTGCAGGAAAATGTACGAATGACCAATATGGACATGAAAAGAACCCCAGCCTCACTAGTCACTATGGAAATAGAAAGGAACCCCACAGTGAAATACAAGTACCACTTCAAACCTAATAAAATGGCTTTACTCATAAAGAATGACGAGTATTGATGTAAACCAAAAATTATAATTACAAAAAAACTTTTTTAAAAAGCTAAAAAAATAAATAACAAGTGTTGACAAGGATGTGAAAAATTGGACACCTTTTATATTGCTGGTGGGAATATAAAATAGTGCAGATATTTTGGAAAGCAGTTTTGCAGCTCCTCAAATAAGCTGACTCCATGGTTCAAATCCTGGACCCAGAGGCCTGAAAAATGTGTTGGACACGATGCAGCCGTCCATTCTAGGGATGATTTCTCACTTTTGCTGCCTCTCTCTGGTGAATGTACATGCCCCATGGCAAAAAAAAAAACCTTTTTTTTTGGAGAGGTTTTCACTATAGGGCGCATAATGTGCTCACCAGAAAGAGAGAGAGAGAGAAGCGAGAAATCACCCCCCAGGAGAGATGGCCACATCACAATCCCTTCTCCTCTCAGGATCTTGGGCATGCGTGTACATGGGTCCAGGACTTGAACCACGGTTGACTACATGGGAGTCCAGCGACATAGCCATTACGCTAACTGCTAGTCCCAAAAAAAATCTTAAAAAAAATAAAGTAACCATAAAATTCAGCAATTCCAGTCCTAGAGAAGATAAAGCGTGTCTACGTTAAAAATTTGCAGGCAGATATTCACAGTAGTTATTCATACATAATAGCCAAAAAGTGGAAGCAACCCAACTCTCCACCAACTCGTGAATGGATTTTTAAAATGTGATATATCGGGACCAGCAGGTGGCATGGTGGTTAGGGTGCTGGACACTCCCACATGGCCAATCACAGTTCAAGTCCCAGACCTGGTGGCTTGCTTTCTCGCTTTCCATCTCTCTCGCTCTCTATGTCTCTCTCTGGTCAAGTTAAAATAAGTGAATAATTAAAAATTTTTAAAAATAACAAAAAAATGTGATATATCTATACAATAGAGTATTATTTAGCAACGAAAAGAAATGAAGTACTAATAAATGCGACAACATGGATGAACCACAAAAACATGGTAAGTTAAAGAAGCCAATTATAGGGCCAGCAGATGGTATAGTGGTTACATTGCTGGACTCCCACATGGACAACAACAGCTGGAGTCCCAGATGTAGAGGCTTGAAAATCACACTGGGCGTGTGTGCATGTGCCCAAGATCCCAGGAGGAGAATGGGAGAGAAGGGATTGTGGTGTGGCCATCCCCCCTGCCCTGGTTGGGTGGGGGGGGGGTCTCACTTTTCCTCTCACTGTCTCTGTATCTCTCTCTCCAATAGGCGCTGAATTCCCACATGGCCGACCACAGTTTGAGTCCTAGTCCTGGTAGCTTGCATTTGCCTTTTCCCTTTCTCTTTCTTTCTGATCAAATTTAAAAATATAATAACAAATAAAATTAAATAATTAAAAAAAAAAAGTCATGACGTATTTCTCTGTGTTTCTATGCAAAAATGTGTCACGACTTTTCCGTCAACTCACTATATCCCTACTAACAGTTGGAGAAGTTACAGTCTAAGGCTACATCAGGGTCCATGACACAGCTAGGCTGTTCTCATTTCTGCTCCAACTGTGAGAAAATACAGTACAAGAAGGGGAGAGGGAGGAAAGACACATTGCAAAGGAGAGTACCAATGTCCCTGAAGGAAAAGAAAAGGAAAATGGACCCCTGGGAGAGCCTCTACTACATCTGCCATAAGCCTTCCGCCCAGACCCACGGGCAGCATCACACCCTCTGCTGGAGGCTGGACCACTGTCCGTACCAGACAGGCAACACCCCAGTTACCTGGCGGAATAGCCCACCCCCAGAGGCTTTCTTTTATGTTTTCTGGGGTCTCTTCCTTGGTGGCTGCCCGGCACCATTCCATCCACCTTGGACTTTTTATTTCTTGGCTTCTGCTGAGATTCTGTAGCTTCCGCATTAACCTCTTCTCCCAATCTGCTAAGTCCTTTGCTTCGGAATGGGATGTCTACCACATCCCGGCACTTCTCCAGGACTTTTCTCCAGTCCGTGGGGTCACTGTTTTCTTCTACAGGTGAATTCCTAGAGAAAGGGTATCCAAGAAGATGGAGAAAGAGAGCCACTGAAATCTGGGCATCCCTGGCAGCATAAATTACCTGAAGAGAAAAGTCAGAGATCAGTGGAATCTGGAAGGCAAACTGGACAGAACAACTTCGATCGCAAAGACGCAGAAATTTCTAGGATACTAATTCAAAATGCACAATGATTCGGGTACCATATATTTATTTAAAACTGTGTATTATGAAAATTTTCAAACTATACAAAAGTAAATTAAATAGTATAATGAACACTCATGTTCCCAAAGTTTTGGCTAAAATAATGAGTTAACTCTAAGTGTTAGAAAATCCTAATCTACAAAAATCTGTGACATTTCTAAGTACGATCAAACTGCTGGACAGGTTTTCCTCAAGTTTGGGAGGAGGGTAGTTAGCAGATGTCTGATAATTAGTACATGAAATTCACTTTAAGGAATCTTCTAGAATAGCTGAAACTATTATATAATTTATTAAGAAGCCTATGTTTCTATCAATCAGAAATGACCTGCCATATTTCCTAATAAATTGTTGAAAACAAGCAAAGCAGGGACCAGCAGATGGCGTAATGGCTACGTCGCTGGACTCCCATGTTCGAGTCCTGACTAGGTGTCTTAAACTCACACCAGACACATGTGCGTGCATGCCCAAGATCCCAAGAGGAGAATGGAGGAGAAGGATAGCATGGCCATCCCCCCTAGGGAGTGATTTCTCACTTTCTGTCTGTCTCTCTCTGTCTTTCTGGTGAGGGCACGCGCCCCATAGCAAAAACCTCCAGAAAGAAAAAGAAAAAAGAAACCATAATCTACGTAACTAACAGCAGATTGTCTCTCCGAAGAATTGAATGTAAAGGGTTCAGAGTGTCTTTTAAATTTTGCTTTAAAATGATAAGGAAACAAAGGCACTTTAAATAAATGGTGCTGGGACAACTAAATGTCCACATGCAAAAGAATGAATCTGAACACCTACCAGACACGACACAAAAGAATTAAGTCAAAATAGAACATAGACAAAAAATGCAAAAGGTAAAACTATGAGACTATTACAATTAAAACATAGGAGTAAATCTTCATGTCCTAGAGTTAGGCAATGATCTCTTGGATAGGATTCCAAAAGTATAAAAAAGAAAAGAAAAAGATAACGGAGTTCATCAAAACTAAAACTTTTATGCTTCAAATGACCCCATCAAGAAAGTAAAAAGATGGGGCCAGCAGGTGGCATGGCAGTTAAGGGCACTGGACTCCCACATGGCCAACCATGGTTTGAATCCTGGACCTGAGGCCCTGAGGCTTCCTTTCTCACTTTCTTTCTCTTTCTCTCTCTCTCCCTCTTTCATCAAATTAAAAATAAATTAAATAAAGCTAAAATTAAAAAATAATTCTTAGAAACTTTTTAAAAATGAAAGTGAAAAGGCAACACATAGAATGGGAGAAAATATTTATAAATTATGTATCTGATAAGTGACTAGCATCCACAAACTCAATAATAAAAGACAAATAAATCCAATTAAAATATGGGCAAAAGACAGACATTTCTTGCAGGAAAATGTACGAATGACCAATATGGACATGAAAAGAACCCCAGCCTCACTAGTCACTATGGAAATAGAAAGGAACCCCACAGTGAAATACAAGTACCACTTCAAACCTAATAAAATGGCTTTACTCATAAAGAATGACGAGTATTGATGTAAACCAAAAATTATAATTACAAAAAAACTTTTTTAAAAAGCTAAAAAAATAAATAACAAGTGTTGACAAGGATGTGAAAAATTGGACACCTTTTATATTGCTGGTGGGAATATAAAATAGTGCAGATATTTTGGAAAGCAGTTTTGCAGCTCCTCAAATAAGCTGACTCCATGGTTCAAATCCTGGACCCAGAGGCCTGAAAAATGTGTTGGACACGATGCAGCCGTCCATTCTAGGGATGATTTCTCACTTTTGCTGCCTCTCTCTGGTGAATGTACATGCCCCATGGCAAAAAAAAAAACCTTTTTTTTTGGAGAGGTTTTCACTATAGGGCGCATAATGTGCTCACCAGAAAGAGAGAGAGAGAGAAGCGAGAAATCACCCCCCAGGAGAGATGGCCACATCACAATCCCTTCTCCTCTCAGGATCTTGGGCATGCGTGTACATGGGTCCAGGACTTGAACCACGGTTGACTACATGGGAGTCCAGCGACATAGCCATTACGCTAACTGCTAGTCCCAAAAAAAATCTTAAAAAAAATAAAGTAACCATAAAATTCAGCAATTCCAGTCCTAGAGAAGATAAAGCGTGTCTACGTTAAAAATTTGCAGGCAGATATTCACAGTAGTTATTCATACATAATAGCCAAAAAGTGGAAGCAACCCAACTCTCCACCAACTCGTGAATGGATTTTTAAAATGTGATATATCGGGACCAGCAGGTGGCATGGTGGTTAGGGTGCTGGACACTCCCACATGGCCAATCACAGTTCAAGTCCCAGACCTGGTGGCTTGCTTTCTCGCTTTCCATCTCTCTCGCTCTCTATGTCTCTCTCTGGTCAAGTTAAAATAAGTGAATAATTAAAAATTTTTAAAAATAACAAAAAAATGTGATATATCTATACAATAGAGTATTATTTAGCAACGAAAAGAAATGAAGTACTAATAAATGCGACAACATGGATGAACCACAAAAACATGGTAAGTTAAAGAAGCCAATTATAGGGCCAGCAGATGGTATAGTGGTTACATTGCTGGACTCCCACATGGACAACAACAGCTGGAGTCCCAGATGTAGAGGCTTGAAAATCACACTGGGCGTGTGTGCATGTGCCCAAGATCCCAGGAGGAGAATGGGAGAGAAGGGATTGTGGTGTGGCCATCCCCCCTGCCCTGGTTGGGTGGGGGGGGGTTCTCACTTTTCCTCTCACTGTCTCTGTATCTCTCTCTCCAATGAGCATATGTGCCGTATGGCAAAAACCTCCTAAAAAAAAAGGAAGAAAAGGCCAATCACTGGCCCAGCCACAATGGCACGGAGGGGAAGCAATGTTCTGCAATATTGGAAGCTATATGGAAGGTCAGGGTTTAGTTCCTGGATCAACCTGCACATGCTGGGCACACATTTGCCCATGATCCTGGACGGCTGGGAAGTGAGGCCAAGATCTCAGCATGAGTCTCTGTTAGGGGTGCTCCTCTCTCTCAAGACACTTAAAAAAAAAAAAAAGCTAATCACAAAAGACCACATATTTACTAATTTATTATTCCATTTAAAAAGTAGATTGGGGGTTACAAACCTACAGCTGGAGTGTTGGGAATGAGACGGGAAGTTACTGCTAATGGGTATGGAGTTTCTTTCCTGAGACAAGAAAAATATTTTAAAAACTCTTAAAAAAAAAAGGTGGACTATGGTGATGGCTGCACAATTCTGTAAATGTACTAAAATCTGTTGGTGTAAATATTTTTAATGAGTGAATCATATGTAAATTTTATCACAATATAACTTAAAAAAAAAAAAAAACTGGGGCCAGCTGGTGGCATGGTGGTTAAGGTGCTGGATTCCCACATGGTCAACAGTGGTTCGAGTCCCAGACCCAGCACCTTGAAAATCATGCTGGTAGTATATGTATGCATGGCCCAAATCCCGAGAGAAGAACAGAATAGAAGGGACTGCAATATGGCCTTTTCCACTGGGCGGGGGGGATGTGATTTCTCACTTTTTCTCTCTTTGTCTGAGAACTGCACATACCCTATGGCAAAAAGCTTTAAAAAAAAAAAAAAGGGGGGGGGCAAGTGGCATGGTGGTTAAAAGCACTGGACTCCCACGTGACAGACCACGATTCAAGTCTCAGACCTGGTGGCTTGCTTTCTCACTTCTTCTCTCTCTCTCTCTGTCTCTCTCTGATCAAACTGAAAAATAATAATGATAATAATAATAAATATAATAATTCT